TCGCGCCGCAAAGACTCCCAGTTGCAGTACCGAGTGCGCTGGGAAGGATTCTCAGCCGACGACGACACTTGGGAACCGGCCGCTCACCTGCTCCACGCACCGGTGACGGTCCAAGCTTATCACGCCGCTCACCCACGAGCCGAGGCCCCCAAACGCACCCAATAGTGTCACTCGCATTTATTGTTGCAGGCGTGAGTCAACGGCGTTCACGTGCGCCGCGCGTTCCCGGTGATTTTCTTTTTGTTACCCCTGTCCCGACCTCAACTCCGACGTCTACGTTTGCCTCGCGACTTGCTACCCTCTTCCACCTCTACGTCTGCCTCCTCCTCTTGCTCCTTCACTTCCTCATCCACGTCCATCCGCCCCCCGGTGCCACCGTCCTCGCTATCCTCCTCGTCCTCCTCGTCGCCGCCGCTGCTGCTCTCCCCGCTCGATCCCTGCTTTGGCTTTGGCCACCCGCACCTGATCGCCTCCCGCTTGACCCCACGTGCGCCGCGCAGCTCCGCCCGTTTGGTGGCGCCATCCTTCTTGGCGCAGTCGAACTTTGCCACAATGATCTTTGTGCCGTCGCGAACCTGGACCCTCGACAAGCTGCCGGCCAGAACCAGGTGAGATTCGCCGCAGCCGGGAGGGGGATCCGAGCTGCTGGACGCTTCCTTCTCGAGCTGCCGCGCCAAGGTCAACTGCGACGCCGCTAGAGAAATTGCGGTGGTGTTGAATCCCAAGAATTGCGTCGCCTCTCGTGCCAACACGAGTGTCGCCTGCTCGTTGTCGAACACATTGTTCAGGTAGCCGGGAGGCGAGAAGGCAGCCAGCTTGGAGATGGTGCGCAAAAGCGCAAGGTTCAAGTCCACGGCCAAAACGCGACGGCCAAGGCAGATAGCGTGCGCTCGCTGCAATATGTCAAGGGGCTCGCAAATCCGTTTCTCCATCTCGGACAACAAACCGACATTGACGCTGGCCGGCCCGCGCCGTGTTGGCGTAGTGGAGACCGTAGTCTTCGCCGTGTTTGTTTTCCCGCCCGAAGCCAACCGCAGCATGTACGATGGCGTCCCCTGTGTCGCCGACGGACCAGCTTTCTGGTGTTCTGGCGTTCCCGCCCGGCCCCACACCAAGGGCTCGACGTCCGTGTCCAGCAAGTTCACCCATGCTTTCTTCCCGTCCGCGGACCTGGAGAACCGAAGTCAGCACGCCGTTTGTGGCCGCAAAGTTGCTGCCTGACTCACCTGATGATGACAGGAGCGTCCCCGGCCAAATTCGCATCCACGGGGGTTACGGCACTCGCCGGCACCTTGCATGCGCACTTCGCTAGAACACACGTCGGACAGCTATATGACTTGTACTCCAGCAGTTTCTCTTTCTTTGGCCGGAAGCACATTGTCGACGCCGCAACGCATCGATCGCAACGCTGATCTTTGTCCACCGCAATGCACATCTCCAGCAGACGCAGATGTTCCACCTGCGACATGATCGTCAGCGCCTGCCCCAAAGTCCCCAGGCGCAAACCCACGAGCACTCACCGCCGCCTTGTAGATCTTCTTCTTTTTGCCGGTCTCAAATCCGTTTGGGGGCCCAGCGCGACGCATCTCCTCGGACGAAAAAGGCTCATCGCGTGCGCTGTTCCTGTTCAGAAACTGCTCCACGGCGGCAACGTCAGAACCGGGCTGGGAAGGCATCTTGCGTTTCGTCTAAAGTAGGGTGTCAAGCTGGGATGTTCAGTGATGGTGGTGACGAAGTAGCCCTGCTCAAACTCACAGCGAGGGCCAGCCTTGTTCGTCGCCTATCTAACCAATGTAGCGCCGAGACGTCGCTTTCCCGCGGGGGGGGGTAATGTTAGACGCGTTGACGATACACACTGCGCGTCCCCACGTGACCGAC